GCGAGAGCTAGTGTTTCTATAAAAGCTGTCAATTAATTAACTTCTATATTTCTTTACAGAAAGATGCAGAAAAAAAGAAAGTAGCTGATGATACCTGTTCATGTGTTTCTTGTGCGTAAGTACACAACGCTGAGGTGACTGGGAGGAGGTTGAGAATTTTAAAGTTAGCAGAATCACTAGGAAACTAGATCTATCATTATAACAATATCAACCTGCCCTTGTCCCTGCGAAAGGTCAGCACAGTGTGCTTTCCTATACATCTCTACTGTTGATCCGTATCTCCATCAGCTCTAATATCTGAACTCTCTCCCCCCCCTCTCTCTCACTCTCTCGCTCCCTTGAGCATATCGTCTTGAACACAATCCGTTTGTTTAGTCTTCCTCTACCTTTGTAGTCATTCAGTCATAATCATACTAATATTATTAATGTGAAAGTTTGAATGGATGGAAGGATGGATAGATAGATGGATGGAAGTTTGTTAGAGTTTGTAGCCTAAACGGCTGAACGGATCTGGATGAAATTTGGCATAGATGTAGAGTACAGTCTGGAAGAATACCTAGGCTCTTTTGTTTTTATTAATACAACGCGGATGGAGTCGCGAGCGAAAACTAGTATCATCATAAAATGCTATTAATCCATTTTATACACCTAAATAAAGGAAGTAATGTTAAGGTGTAACTTAATTGACTATTGGTTTTTGACAGAAAATTAATAAAAGTAACAAAAGGGAAATTTCCAGGTTGAAGAAAGTGATCAGTTCGGACTACGCTTGCATCTTTTGTCTGTCACTGGTGTTCGCCATATCCGTGGTGGTGGCGTTCGTAGTCTTCAGGAGTGTAGCGGTGTCTGAATCCATCTCGCCGCAGATCGAAGGACGCATGAGTTCAGCGCTAAAGAAGAACACGATGATCAAATCGAGACGGCAATTCCGTAGCGATGGATCAAACTTGGATGGGAAGTTAGCATATTTTATTATCTGTGATACTGAAGTTACATATACGAGTATATAAAATAACCTTTCATCTATATATATTTTTTTTCTAGTAAACCCTGGACTGACATTGTCACTGATCCCTGGAGAAGTTTACCTAGGTTGTCTGGAGCAGGTAAATTGAATATATTCAATTTATTAGCTTTTGCCCGTCGACTCCGTCCGTGTGGAATTAAAAACAAAACAAAATGCACTAAAAACAAAACAAAATATTCTCAAAAAAACAGTACACTAAAAAGTAACGAAATAATTCCTTGAAAATAGTAAACCTACCTTATTGTAACTGTTAGGTCTATATTGTACAATTATTATTACTTTGATGTCGGTGTCAGCCAAGGTATGGAGTGATATTTCTACGTAAGGGTTTCCACATTTTTACCATAACAATTGACAATTGAAAGTATAGTAACAATTAAGTAATGAATCTACATTGACTGACACCGACTTACAACCTTAATAGATAGATATATGCTGTCGCGGACTTTTATTTAGCAAATTTAAAGGGCTACAATTCTTCCATACATCATTTTTATGTAGATCTTATAGTTTAGGCTACGTAAGCAAAGAAAGCAAAAATGACCCGAAATTTCGTCGCGCGATTTTGAGCT